TGTGTGTGTGTGTGTGTGTGTGTGTGTGTGTGTGTGTGTGTGTGTGTGTGTTGGGGGGGGGGGGGGGGGGCAAGTTTTTGCTACATCTTGGGAGCCATTTTCCAGAAAAAGGCAGCCTTGTGGGGACCGAATGTGCTTCATCGGACCAATGCTCGGTCCCCACAGGTACAGATGCTAATTTGGGGTGGGGGGTTAGATTTAGTACCAAGGTGTGAATTGAGTTTAGGTTAGTTTTAAGGTAAATGGTCAGGGTTAGGTTATAAAAATATCATAAAACGAATGGAAGTCAATCCATGGTGCCCACGGGGATATAAAAACAAACATATGAGTGTATGTGTGTTGATTTACCTTGGAGATTGGCAGAGAAAGATCCCAGAAAGGATCAAAACAAGTGGAGCAGAAGCCACAGTGGCTGCAGGTCAGGGAGCTCTTCAGCTGCCCCACAAACAAATCTGACAGAGCAACAAAGATTATAGCAAATTAAACTCTCTGATCACCAGATTTAGAGACATGACATGAAAAATAAATATCCTGTTGCGCTGCACCTGATGTGTCTAATGCTCAATCTGCATCACAATACATCTTCAATCCTAGTCTCTCTGTTTTGTTTTTTAAGCATAATTTTGGTTCCAGTGTACCTAAAGTATGTATCTGAACATGTTTCACTGAGATCCAGTGTGCTTGGGTTGGCTTAGAAAAGTGCTGAGGTAACTTACTAACCACAAAACTTAAATCTGGTCTGGTGCAAGTGGATAAGTAAATTAAACTCCCTGCTGCTTCTCTATTTCCTTGGTTCCTTAATCTTTTCAGCACTTTTTGTGAAGTCAAGTTTTGACTCAAATGGCGTCTCGCTAGCCTTGCAAACTTGCATTTCAAACTTTTCAAGTAGTTTCCTCACACATCTCTCCTGTGACATTTTAACATCTCCATCTGCTCAAAATGTATTCCTAATAAATGCTTCAACTTTCCCAGGTCTTTCATTTTGAACCTACTGTGTCTGTCACTACCTCACACTGAGTTTAACATTTTTTTTTACCTCACTCTGACCTGAAGAAGTGCGACAGATGAGCGTGTC